TGCATTTCATGAACAAATGCACAAGATAGACCTTGAAGCTGTTAATCAAGGTGACCAACTGAAACATTCACACTTGCCTCCAACAGACAAGAGTTCTTTTTCCCACTCTGGACATTATAACAGACCTCACAACCTCTGAGGATGCCTGCCATAGATGCAGGCAAAGCATCAGGAGAGAATGCCTCTAGAACATGGTCATATAGCCCCCCCCCCCCAAAAAAAAAACCCCCTACCACAACCTAGGCCTTGGAAGCCTTTGACAATACAATAATAATAACTTTATTCTTCTATCCTGCCACAATCTCCCCGAAGGGACTCAGGGAGATTTACATGGGGACCAAGCCCAGTCAACAAAATTTAAAATATAGCACAGCAAAATACATTGCATTACAAAAAATTGAGACAAAAAACATACAAAACAACATAAAACATATTTGTGTTTACATTTTTGCATTCAAGACATGTCATTTTCACTCTCCGTAACTTCTAGTCACAAGGATCTCAGGCATCAAGAATGAAATAGTACCTTGCCTGAAATCCTGTAGATTTCACCTGGAGAATCTCAAAACCCAAGATCTCAATCCTAACCTTCAGGGTTCCCAAGAAGGCCACTGTTCTTTCTCTATAATATCACAATTTGCTGGCTTCCTAGCTTTTATGCCAGGTTTTTTCCAACACTAGTTTGAAAGTTTGAAATGTCTCCCTTCAGGTTTAGATTTTGACACCAAGCATTTTAAAACCCTGTAGTTTTCATCCTAGCCTTTTGATTGTAGCACCACTCACTACAGGAACATTACATTCAGTCCTTGCATGGATAATTTCCTCACCCTTGTTGCTGAGTCAATGTTTAGTGGGCAATAAGAGGCATATGGCTAGACCAGCTATTGCTTGTATTGGCTGAGAATAAAAGGAATTGTAGTTCAGCACATCTGGAGTTTAAGATTGGTTTAAACATTACTGGCTTATGTAAACCTGTTGCCATTGCAATGGCACTGTGTGGGATGAAGCAGAGGAAGTGAAAGCAGGGCAGTGGCATAGTAATACATCCTGGAGTTGAACTGTTATGATGCTTCTGTGTTGTCTGTTAATTGAGACTGCTCTTTAGCTAGTGTTTTGGGTCTCAGCATATTCTCTTGGCTGTCATAAGGGATGTGGCTTGTATATCAGCTTGTAACATTCTAGGAACAGGTTGTCAAATAGAAAGGCTGGTTTCTAGCTCAGAAAATGCTAGAAAGTAGATGAATGGGTAAGTGATTTGGTAACAGTGCAAAGAAGGCAAGTTTCTGAGAAGGCAGGAAACAGTGGTGCTTTTTTCTGACAAGAAAGGAAGATCACATTATAAACACACAAGCTATGTATAGCTTCCAGATGAAAGCCAAACCAAAGTGGTTCTCGCTGTCTTTATGTGCACACACCCTCTTTTCTCTGTTTCCTTCGGTGAGAGTTTTCAAAGCCCACGAGCTTCCTCATCAGCCAAAAATGTGTTTTAAAAATAATGCAGGAAAGAAAAGCCGACAGAGTCACAGATCTACCTCTTGCTTGGAGCATTTGTTTAAAGTGGCCTTGAAAGTCAATGCAGCTCAATGGTTGTTAAGGGACTGGAAGTATGGATAACAAAGGGAAAGAGATGCAGGGGAAAATTAATTCTGCATTAGCAGGATGGTTTGTCTCATAAAAGCATTGTGCCACAATGACAGAGCTGGGATGGTGTAGTGCAGTGGTTCTCAACCTTTCTAATGCCGTGACCCCTAAATAAAGTTCCTCATGTTGTGGTGACCCCCAACCACATTTTCGTTGCTACTTCATAACAGTAATTTTGCTACTGTTATGAAATGTAATGTAAATGTCTGATATGAAGGATGTATTTTCATTGTTACAAATTGAACATAATTAAAGCATAGTGATTAATCACAAAAACAATATGTTTGGGGGAGTGTGGGCAACAGATGATGGGATGTGAAGTACCTTCAACCGATGCAGCTCTGACTTCCAGAGACCACTAAGACACCCCCCCCCCCCCCCATACAGACCAGGACCAAACAGAACCCTAATGACCCAACAGAAAATACTGGAGGGGGTTGGGAGGAATTGATAGTGAATTATGGGAGAGGTAGTTCACCTACATCCAGAGAGCACTGTGAACCCAAATTACTATGGATCTGGACAGAACTTGGCACAAATACTCAGTATGCCCAAATCTGAAGACTGGTGGAGTTTGGGGGAAAATAGACCTTGGCATTTGGGAGTTGTTGGGATGTATAGTTCCCCAGCCATCAAAGAGCATTCTGAACTCCAACAATTAAATTGGACCAAACTTGGCCTGCAGGACTCTCACGACCAACAGAAAACACTGGAGAGATTTTGGGAAAATAGACCTTGGCATTTGGGACTTGTTGGGGTGTTTAGTTCCCCAGCCATCAAAGAGCATTCTGAAATCCAACCACAATTAAATTGGACCAAACTTGAGATGTGTGGAAGGGGACTGGGTTATCTGAGGCCCCTTCCATACAGCTGCATAAAATACACATTGAAGTGGATTATCTGGCTGTGTGGAGTCAGAAATCCAGTTCAAAGCAGATAATGTGGGATTTCATTCAGCTGTGTGGAAGGGGACTGGGTTATCTGGGTCCCTGTTCCTTCGCTCTTTCGCTTGCCTTGCAACCTCTTCTCTTCCCTTCAGTCTCCTCTCACGCTGTTGCTTTCCCCATTCACCTCGCGCGGAGGCCATTGGCGAGAGCGCAAGGCAGGCGACGAGGGGCTTCTGGGATGGCAGGCGTCGCGCGAGGCAGGCGAGGAGGGCTTACACGACACCAGGTCTCGCGCGGAGGCCTCCTCGCCTACATCGCGCCCTCGCCATCGGCGAGAGAGTGGGGCAGGCGAAGGGCGCTTCCGCGACGCCAGGCTTCGCGCGGAGGCCTCCTCGTGACCTCGCCATCGGTGAGAGAGTGAGGCAGACAGGGCGGGCTTCGTGCGAGACCTCGCTTGTCCACGCCCTTGGAGCAGGGCCAACGAGGCGGCCTTGCGACCCCGCTGAAATGGCCAGGCGACCCCCCTGGGGGTCGCGACCCCCAGGTTGAGAACCGCTGGTGTAGTGGCTTCAATATAAGATACTGCAAAACAGGGATTTGAATTCCTGCTCAGTCATGGAAACCCATTGAGTGACCTTATGTAAGTCACACTCTCTCAGCCTCAATAGAAGACAATGCCATCCTCTGATGAATAATAGACTCTTGGATCATAGAGTTGTAAGAGACCACATGGGCCATCAAGTCCAACCCCATGCCATGCAGGAAAAGCACAATTGGAGCACCCCAACAGATGGCCATCCAGTCTCTGTTTAAAACCCTCCAAAATTTCAGGAGGATGTTTTCCAGACCTGTGGTTTGTTCTTGGCATGAACAAATCATGCCAACCCCCCCCCCCCAATAATAGGTTCATCTTAGGGTCACCATGAGTGTCAAATGACTTCAAGACAAACAACAACTAACATGATGTTTGATTTTGGATTTTGTTTTATGGCCAACATATGCCCTTGCATTTCTTTTGCATGAGGTTAAAAAGCAAAAAAAGGGGCAGGTTGGAACCAGACTTCCATGGGGCACACATGAGGGTTCAAAGATACCCAGTGGCTTGCATTGAGGTTAAATTCTGACCAAGCAATGTTTTTAATATTTAGTTCTTGTTGTAACAGATAAACACATAACAAATGGCCATAATGCCAAATCAAACCAACACTCAAAGGTTGGATGGATTGCTTTTTTGGATTTCTGCCGACCTCTATAAATATCATAAAGGCACCAGATCCTGTTGATCTTAGAAGCCAAGCAGGGTCAGCCCTCATTAATCCATGAATAGGAGACCTCCCCCAAATATTGAGAAATGAAGACCATAAGGAAGGAATGGACAAAACTACATTCATTATTCCAGAAAACCCTATGAAATTCATAAGGCCAACATTACTTGTTGACAGTTGGCTTATAGAATCATAGAATCATTGAGTTGGAAGATACCTCATTGGCCATCCAGTCCAACCCCCTGCCAAGAAGCAGGAAAATCTCATTCAAAGCACCCCAGACAGATGTCCATCCAGCCTCTGTTTAAAAGTCTCCAAAGAAGGAGCCTCTACCACACTCTAGAGCAGACAGTTCCACTGCAGAACAGTTCTCATAGTTAGGACATTTTTTCTAATGTTCAGGTGGAATGTACTTTCCTGTAGTTTGAAGCCATTGTTCCATGTCCTAGTCTCCAAGGCAGCAGAAAACAAGCCTGCTCCCTCCTCCCTATGACTTCCCCTCACATGGCTATCATGTCTTCCCTCAGCCTTCTCTTCTGAAGGCTAAACATGCCCAGCTCTTTAAGCAGCTCCTCATAGGGCTTGTTCTTCATCATTTTAGTCACCCTCCTCTGGAAGGCAGACACACATATTGTTTTTAGGTTCCAAACTAATAAAAGTTACATGGAAGTAAGCCTCACTGATCAATGATTCGTTTCTTAAGAAGCAGGCCTAAAATTGCATTATTGGCTTTTGTTTCCCGTAAAAGGTCACTTTACTTTGTATATTGCAATAAACAGTGGTTGCTCTACAGAGAAAGCCCCCTAGAATATCTTCACACTTCTATCTCTCATAAATGACCACAAAGATATTTCTAAGAATGTGCACAAAAGAGAAAGGAAGAACAAACTTCAAACCAACAAGAGTTTCAAATTTCTATGGGGTGTTTTATCTGAAACAGATTTCAACGGGGCAGCTGACACTCAAAAAGGTGTAAAGGTCATCTTGCATATATTAAAGGTTAAGTTTGACTGGGGAGAAAAATCATCGGTTTGGCTTAACTGTTAAAATACTTTAACACTCACTGTTATCACCACATGGAAACCATTTAAGTTTCTTTTTAAAGGCTTTTGAAGTCATATGTGCATAGCATTTAAATACTTTTAATATAGTTAAATTTCAACATATTAGGCAATGAACATCCATTACTTAGGAATATAGATTTTTGATGAACACTTTGGCCACAGAGGATGTGGAGCGCATTGAGGTGGATCACATCGCGTGGATAATAGCCACTGGCAGTGGAGAAAACTCCAAGGTTACTGAGTACCTCATTGCCCAGCACAGCATCACCAAGATGTTGCACAGCTGCATCAAGCTCATTTTGGAGTATGTTGAAGCCTTATAATCATAGAATCATAGAATCAAAGAGTTGGAAGAGACCTCATGGGCCATCCAGTCCAACCCCCTGCCAAGAAGCAGAAATATTGCATTCAAATCACCCCTGACAGATGGCCATCCAGCCTCTGTTTAAAAGCTTCCAAAGAAGGAGCCTCCACCGCACTCCGGGGCAGAGAGTTCCACTGCTGAACAGCTCTCACAGTCAGAAAGTTCTTCCTCATGTTCAGATGGAATCTCCTTTCTTGTAGTTTGAAGCCATTGTTCCTTGTCCTAATCTCTATGGAAGCAGTAAACAAGCTTGCTCCCTCCTACCTGTGGCTTCATCTCACATATTTATACATGGCTATCATATCTCCTCTCATCCTTCTCTTCTTCAGGCTAAACATGCCCAGCTCATTAAGCTGCTCCTCATAGGGCTTGTTCTCCAGACCCTTGATCATTTTAGTCACCCTCATCTGGACACATTCCAGCTTGTCAATATCCCTCTTGAATTGTGGTGCCCAGAATTGGAAGCAGGAGAAGTGCCCTTCAACCGCATGATCCTGCACGAGGCCTGTGTGCTATGCCACTGCCTGCCGATGCTGAGCACAGACAAGTTCAAGACAGATTTCTATGCTCAATGCCTGGGCCTGATGACCTACCAGGGCACTATCACCAAGACCTGCCACACCATGAACCAGTTTGTGAACAAATTCAACATCCTCTATGAACCGAAGGGCATTGGCCGCATGTTGTGGGGGGCTTTTCTTCTGAGGCCTCAAAGCACCCCCCCCTGCCCTAATAAAGCCATTATACTGTCAAAAAAAAAAGAACATATTTTTGCCAGTGATAACATGGTGAATTTTATAATCTAGGCATTAGGAATGGTGAAGAAATACAAAGTTATTGGAGCAAATGGTCAGAAAAATGTCTTTCTTGAGTGCTAAGAAATGCTGGTGATAAGAGTCCTGCACAAACAAAAATCACAGTATGCGAGTTATTCTGTGCAAAAAATTGTGCATTGTATCCTCCAGAGAATCTGCAGCCTATCTCTGTATAGAAATTCTATCATCTGTGTCAAACCACCACATGCAATTTATTTTGCAAATACTAAGACCCAGATTGTGAAATGTCATTATTTTTGACATTGAGAAGAAAATTGTATCCCGAGTGGGCAGTCCTCGAGATAGTCCCCAGTATAACCGGCTCAACAAGGAGAGTTCAGAGATGAAGTCAGATATGTCCACCCCAATCAGTTTTGCACCTACCCTTTCCACCAGGAACAGAATTTATGTAAATGGAATGGGATTAAATTGCCAAATTCACCCAGGCTATGACAGAGAACCAGAAAATCATAAAGTTGGGGGAGACTACATGGGCCATCCAGTCTTATCCTATGCTATACATGTTAGATGCTAAATTCAGAATAATATTTGAAATCCCATACATCAAAACCAAAAATACTATGGCATAGATTATTCTGAATTTAGCATTGAATGTTCCTCACTGCTGATATTTAAACACACATGAATATTGATTTGTATGAGAATGATACATTGCCTTCACATTCGCTTATAGTGCTTCCTAGACTTTAACCAGTTCACACTGACACTGTGGAGTTATAAAACCAAACACACTTGACTATTGCTGACCAGATATTTCAGAGTTCAGAGTAATTATAACACATTTCAAAGAGATCATCCTACATTTCTACAAAATATATTTCTATATGAATCTTTCATTGGAAAGACATGAAGGCAGGTGACTAATTCCTCTTTATGGCTCAGATCACCATGTTGCTCTAGAGCACTGGTTCTCAACCTGTGGGTCCCCAGGTGTTTTGGCCTTCAACTCTCAGAAATCCTAACAGCTGGTACACTGGCTGGGATTTCTGGGAGTTGTAGGCCAAAAACATCTGGGGACCCCAGGTTGAGAACCACTGCTCTAGAGCCATCCAGTAGGACAGGATTGCAAAAATAACAGAGGAGCCGTCCAGCTAATGATTCAGTGAGATCTGAGTAGGATGACATATCATTGCTGAAGATGCTAAATATGGATCCTGCAATCTTTTCATACTCGGCCCTACTATTTTGCAGCTTCCCAGAGTGTCAACACAGTCCCAAACCTGATAAGGTACAACGTCTTATTTCATCTTATAGAATAGCACCTCTGTGGTTGTGAGCTTCTTTTTGCACTTGCTCCAGACATTTCAGGAAGATAAAGGATATGCAGTTGGGATGCGTGAAGGGGTTCAGAAGATTCCCTGGATCATCCCAAAGTAAGTAGTTGTTGGTGTTAATAATAATATCCTACTTTCCAATTTGGGACTCATAACAATTAAGCCAATTTGGGACTCACAACAAGTACGCACAGCATACAATACCTTTTTTTTTTTAAAAAAAGTATCAAACATAGAAATGAAAATCCTGCATATTATATAGGGATTGTTTCTTTAAAATGTTCTCAAAGGCCTGGAATAAAAATGGTATTTGCCTCCCTATGGAAAATGAGAGTGCCTCATTGAGGGAGGTCTCTGTTCTCACCACCTGTGAGAAGGATAGACCAGAGAGAAAGGCCTCTCCACAAGATCTCAAAATAGAGGCAGAATTACACCAGAGAATACAGTTCTGGTGTATCTTAATATCTTCAAAAATCCTGTCTTGGTAGTGTCCTGTGGGGTCTTAATAATGTGCATGGACCCATCTTGAATCCCAACACTTGGCTTGGCTCAGGTTGAGCACTCCTTCAACAGGACAAAAAAAGTGGTCACCTTAAGTAAAGAGCACTTGAATGGAAGGAAGTGGAAACCAGTTTCAGGAGAGCAAAACTGTATGCCCCACATATCCTGCCCTGTGGTCCCTAAGCTGCCCTATTATAGATGGTGGGAGGCATTGCTGCAAGATGCTCCATAACTGTCAGCCAATGGTAGAAGTTGGTCTCCATGTCAGTGGGATGATAATTCCACTCTAAATTTTAATATAATTCTTAAAGGAGCTGTCCAAAGTACTGAATGTATATGTGCATTGCAGATCAGCACCTTGGAGAGCTCCTAAAACCATAAGTGGATTCTGGCTGAAAAGGAAGCTACCAACCACTACAAGCTCCCTTCCCAGAAAATGGGAAGGGAGAAGGTTGTAGCATTGTCCTTTCCTGATATGGCAAAAAAATTTTAAAAAATCTTGGGCCAGCCTTGCCAAATACCAAACAGCTTCAATCCAACTTCAGTTGTTTATAGCAGAATGAAGCCTCTTTCAGAGTTTCTCCATGTCTATTGAAAGTGATAAAACCTGGTTATAGTGCCAACTGGCAAGCTTTGGAGGCTTTCCTATTTTGTGGTAGAGCTCATTTCCTTGTGTTCCCCAAGGGAAGAAAAAGGCTTAGTATCCAGTGAGTCCCAGTTTGGATGCTAGCCTTGTTCTATTTTTTCTTTGCTTGATCTGGCACAGCCTCTCCCTTTCCTCTTGCACTGACATTCTTGCGTGTGACAATATGGAGAGACCAGAGGAGGGCAGCCAGAGTCCGGCCTGAGAAATATGCGCACAGAGAAAATGAAGCATGCAATAATGTCAGACAAATCAGACATACCTGGGAGGGAGAAAGTGGAAGGGAGGGAGTGACTGGGAGAATAGGCCACAATCTTTCTTTGGAGGATGTCATGGATAACATGTACACCCTGCTCTCTGTCTGTGACTGCGATGTGCTTTTTATTGCCATTCTTTTCTTGTAAAGGCTGTTATATTAAAAGGAAGCAGTGCTGCTGACTTCATTGCTTTTCTAGAATATTGTCAAAAATGATCCAAGTAAGAAGGATCAGCCTGAGAGAAGCCAAACAAAACAGGACTTCTCATAGCTAGACTGCAAGCAGACAGGAATCTTTTCAGAGAAGGTCTGGCCTCATCATTAGCAATGTGTGGCAGTTGCATCAGGCAGCACAAATATTTGGAAAAGAAATAAAAGATGGGTTTCCCATGTTTGAGGAAACTATGATGTGGGGAATCTGAGATGGGTGAGAATCTTTGCAGTTGTACTCTGGATCAAAAGTCCACGTGGCTTTAGGGGACAGAATGTGGCCTTTTCTATGCAGACAGCCAGTTTTTTGTACTGAAATTGTATGGGGTTTTTTTCTGTGCAGAAAACAATTATATCCAAAATCCTTGGTACTCGAAATGTTTTGGATTTTGAAGACATCTTTGAAATGGGACCCAGGTCTAGACATACAAACATACATTCATGTACGTTTCCTGTATGCCTTATACAAAAAGCTTACAGGTACTTTTACACACAATATTTTAAACATGTTTGTGCATGAAATTTGTGTACACTGAACGTTGAGCAAAGGTCTCCCTATTGCAATCACCCATTTGGACAACTTTGGATTTTTGAGCATTCCAGATTTATGGATCTTCTTTTTTTTCCCCTCCAGCTCTTGGTCATTGTTTTGGAGAGGGGGTGTTCAACCCTCATTCAATCACATTAAAAACCAGCATAAAATATACAGCTAAGTAATTACAATTGCAAATATAAATAAAGCTGCAAGTAACTAAGGAGGCAGAACAGATTTTTTTTTCTATTTGGAAAACATCCAGAACTGGAGTTTTATCGGAAAGCTCTGTCCATGGTACGAAGTGCTAAAAGGGACATTCCTACAAGGACTTGTAACTTTGCCTAGTGGGCACAAATAGAGGCAGATCCTCCTTCAGGTACTCCAGTATCAAGCAACAAAAGACTTTAAATCCAGCACTTTGAATCAGACTTGGAAACAAGCTGCTTAACAGTATCATTTTTGATCGTTATGAGATCTGCAGAAGCAACAGAAGAGGAGAAGAATGGCTAAGTTACCATAGGGACTCCTTCCTATCTCATGCATATTTCAAACTTATGGGGCTTATCCCACCACTGTGGGGCAAGGTGTCTCTTCCTGCTCTTACCATAGTCTGCCAGTAGTATCCATGCACTAGCTCAATTCTGACTAAAGAAAATAATCTTGTTGGTTTCATAAACATGAAGTTGTTATTTTTGACAATTGTTCAATGGACATACTCCATTCATGGTTGCTGTGGAATTCAATTTCACATGGCCCTAGACCAGAGGTTCTCGATCTTCCTAATGCCCATTAAAACAGTTCCTCATGTTGTGGTGACCCCCAACCATAACATTATTTTCATTGCGACTTCGTAACTGTATTTTTGCGACTGTCATGAATTATCATTCAAATATCTATGCAGGATGTATTTTCATTCACTGGACCAAATTTGGCACAAATACCTGATACACCCAAATTTAAATGTTGCTGGCATTGGGGAGGGGGGGGGGTTGATTTTGTCATTTGGGGGTTGTAGTTGCTGGGATTTATAGTTCAACTACAATCAAAAAGCATTTTGAACTCCACCAATGATGGAATTGAACCAAACTTGGCACAGAGAACTCCCATGACCAGGAGAAAATACTGGAAGGGTTTGGTGGGCATTGAGTTTTGGAGTTGTAGTTCACCTACATCTAGAGAGCACTGCAGACTCAACCAATGGTGGATCTGGACCAAACTTGGCACAAGCACTCAATACACCCAAGTATGAACACAGATGGACATTTGGGAGTTGTAGTCACTGGGATTCACAGTTCACCTACAATCAAAAGCATTCTGAATCCCATGAACAACAGAATTGGGGCAAACTTCCCACACAGAACCACCATGACCAATAGAAAATACTCAACCAATGATGGATCTGGACCAAACTTGGCACAAATACTCAATATGCCAAAATGTCTACAATGGTTGAGTTTGGGGGAAATAGACCCCACTCGACCCCCCAGGGGTCCCGACCCCCAGGTTGAGAAGCACTGCCCTAGACCTTACTGTTAGTCCTGGTTTAAACAATGCCATTGAATCAAATGGATTTACCAACTTTTTGAGTCACTATTCAGCAGTTGGTTCTAGGTGGCTAAACAGCAGGATTTGAACCATGAAGTTGCATGCTCTTTGATGTTTGTTAGTGCTTTCAAAGAACCCCTTGATTCACTGAGATTCCAGAAACAGCCCCCATTGTATTTCCCATTGTCCAACTGGGAAAGGAAAGGTATCTAATTTTACACTAAACAGGGATGATGCAGTATCTCACTCAAAATATTTTGACTAAAGGATGAAATTGTAACCTTACAAAACAGTAAATGGTTCCATTTTTGCAGAGCTCTAGCAGTACTATGGCTCACATGTTCAGGTTCTCCATTTAGGGAAATACACAAATTCACTTGCTGTTGAATTGATCCATCAAATTCTGAATCGGTTAAAAAGCAAGTGATTAATCTAACACATCTGCACATCTAGAGATGTGAAATCCATCAACACCCATATACTCCTATGAGTCATGGCACTCTCAAGGGGAGAAGATGTTAGGTTTCATATACACCCTGCTGCATTTGTAGTAGTGGGAAAATACATTGTGGTGACATTCTTCCCAGTAGCACCTCAGTCTCATTTTTGCTCCTCTTGAACAACATCCTGCAATGATTTATATATTTGCTACCTATTGATTGTTCCTATGAGGGAGCAGTGAGACAGTCTGTGATCAATGCAAAAAACAGGACTTGCCGCAGAGCGGCTGAGGGATTTGCCAGGTCTCCAAGCAGACACAGGCTTTTAAGGCAGACGAGAAGGATGACAATGTAACAGCCCTGGATTGCTTTTTCCAGACAGCCTCTTCCAGGCAGAAGGGCTAGGCATGAATAGGAAACAAGGAGGAGAGGAGATTGCTGGAGAAAAGTTGTCTGAGAGGGAGAAAATTGGGTTGGGATCCTAGGGTCATTCAGAAGTGGAATACAATTGCAGAATCAATTGTGTGGCCCATAGGAGCTGATCTGGTCCCGAAGATCCTCAGGACAGTTCCTTTGCTCACTCCCAACCTTTTCACAGACATGGCTGATGGGGACATAATTTCTCCTAGGCTCTAGAGCAGGCATGGGCAAACTTTGGCCCTCCAGGTGTTTTGGACTTCAACTCCCACAATTCCTAACAGCCTCAGGTCCCTTTCTTTTTCCCCTCAGCTGTTACCTTCAATTCTGGAAGCAAGGGAACAGGGAGGGAGGAAGAGGAAGTGGAGATGCTGTCTGTCTCTCCTTCCCTCCTTCCCTCCCTCCCTCCCAGTGGGTCCTGACTGCATTTATTCTCTAATGCAGATGCATCCAGAGAATGGTATGGACCTTGGGAAACTACAACTCTCAGGACTGCATCATATGGAGCTATTGTATTTAAAGTGGGGTCCAAGAGCATTCATTATATAGTGCAGGGGTCCTCAAACTAAGGCCCGGGGGTCCGGATACGGCCCTCCAAGGTCATTTACCCGGCCCTCGCTCAGGGTCAACCTAAGTCTGAAATGACTTGAAAGCACACAACAACAATAATCCTATCTCATCAGCCAAAAGCAGGCCCACACTTCCCATTGAAATACTAATAAGTTTATATTTGTTAAATTGTTCTTCATTTTAATTATTGTATTGTTTTAAAGTGTTTTTTGCACTGCAAATAAGATATGTGCAGAGTACATAGGAATTCTTTTCTTTTTTTTCAAATTATAATCCAGCCCTCCAATAGTTTGAGGGACTGTGACCTGGCCCTCCGTTTAAAAAGTTTGTGGACCCCTGCTATAGTGTAAATGCACCAAGAGAAGGGTATGGACTACGGACCTTGGGAAACTATAACTCCCAGGACCACATAGTATGGAGCTATGGCATTTAAAGTGAGGCCCAAGAGCATTCATTCCACAGTGTAAATGCACCAAGAGAAGGGTATGGACTTTGGGAAATTATAACTCCCAGGACTGCACAGCATGGAGACATGGCATAATCGTCGTCGTCGTCGTCATCATCATCATCATCATCATCATCATCATCATCATCATCATCATCATCCTTCTCTCCTGGCTTTCCCTTGCAACTCAAGGCACAGACATATCACAGAAGGAAGGGAAGGGAAAGAAAGGACCCAGAAATTGTTCTGGCAAAGTAAAATCTCAGTGAGCAAAAGGTAATGCTTTCCCTAACAAGGGTACTTTTGGCTCCTCCCACAATTTTCCCTCCCACAAATTGGGGAAATATCTCATTGTAAACCTGGAGTGACGAATGCCATCATATTACAGAAATGGCCAAACATCCTGATGATTTTTTTGAAATCCCCACCACCTCACGAAACGTTTTAAAAGAATGCTGGCCCTCACATTTAAAATATGCAAAGAATGCTCTATCCTACACTTGAAGCCAAACTAATGTGATGATAACAGTTGCTTCCTGGATTTTATGTGTAGCACTCAGTGGATTTTAGCAAACATGATGAAGTGGCTAGAAAATGCCTAGAGGCGGCATATTTTGTTAGACATGTATAAATGATAGATATCAGTCCCATGGAAACAGGTGTCATACTGTATTGCATTGCATGTACTTTAATTTGTATACTACTGGACATCTTGATAATCAGCCCTCCTATTGTAAATTTAGCTTCCCATGTTCAGCATTATTCACTTATGAGAAAAAGTCTCACA